ACATCCTGTTTCGACCCGACTGAGCGAGGGCATCCACATTTCGGGGGCGGATTTGTCCTGACACAGCACGAACACGCGGTCGTCCGGTGTCGATTTCAGGCCGAAAAGGCGTATTTACGGGCTCTGACGCCTGATTCCGAGAACATAAGCCGGACCGAAAAAAAATCGCGTCTTTCTCCCGATTCACGCGAGATTTCCCCGCCCGCGGGGAGGGGTGGCGCGTCAGACGGGCTGGACCTGGAGGAGGGTGAGGCACCGGTTGAGGATGTCGGTGTGGGTGAGGTTCACCATCTCGAGGGTCTGCTCGGGTTCGCGGGCGGACTTGGGGATGCGGTTGATGTGCATCTGCTCGAGTGTGAAGCCCTCGCCGGACTCGCTCAGCGCGTCGGCGACGGCGCTGCCGATGGAGGCGCCGTAGTTGTCCTCGATGGTGACGACGTAGCCGTTGTTCTGGTTGGCGAGGTCGAGCAGGGCGTCGGTGTCGAAGGGGATGGAGTAGAGGTCGACGAGTGTGGCGCTGATGCCGGCGCGGTCGAGGTCTTCGATGGCCTTGTTGGCCTCGTGAACCATGTAGCCGGAGGCGACGAGGAGGATGTCGCGTCCCTCGTTGAGGACCTCGAAGCCGCCGAGGTTGAACACGACGTCGTCGGAGTAGAGGAACTCGGTCTCGGGGCGGAGGGTCCGCATGTAGCAGGTGCCCTCGTACTCGGCCATGACGGCGGTGAGGGCGTAGGCGGAGTAGGCGTCGGAGGGCTGGAGGATGTAGCAGCGCGGGTTGCCGTTCTCGTCCTTGACGGTAGAGAAGGATCGGAACCAGGCGATGTCGGGGAGGCTCATCTGGCTCGGGCCGTCCGAGGCGAGGGAGCAGCCGGCGTGGGAGCCGACGATCTTGAGGTTGGCGCCGGAGTTGATGGCCATCTCGATCTGGTCGTAGGCGCGGGTGAAGAACTTGGCGAAGGTGCTGACGAAGGGGATCTTGCCGGCGGCGGAGAGGCCCAGGGCGGCGGAGATCATGTTCTGCTCGCCGATTTTGCACTCGATGAATCGGGCGGCGAGCTCGGGGTCGCGGGCGAAGAACTCGGCGAAGGTGGAGTTGGAGACGTCCGCGTCGAGGGCGACGATGTCCGAGTTGGCCTTGCCGAGCTGCTGCAGGGCGACGCCGTAGGCCTTGCGGGTGGCGAAGCGACCGGCCTGGAGGGTGGATTCCATGTCGCGGGCGCGCATGGCCTCGGAGAAGGTCGGGATGTCGATGTTAACGGGCGCTTTGGCGGGGGCCTGCTGCGGGGGTTCGATCGTGAAGGTGTCGCCGGCGGTGAGGGCGGTGGTGAGCTCCTGGCGCTTGTCGGCGAGCTCGTTCAGGACCTTCTCGAGCTGCTCGCCGGTGACGGGCTTGCCGTGGTAGTTGCCGGACTGGAGGGTCGGGGACCCCCAGCCCTTGACGGTCTTGGCGACGACGGCGATGGGGGTGGGGTTGGTCTCGTCCTGGGCGGCGACGAACTTGTCGAGGACCTTCTTGATGTCGGCGGGGTTGTGGCCGTCGATGGTGTGGACGTCGTAGCCGTAGGCCTCGAGCTTTTTGGCGGTGCGCTCGGGGGACTGCTGCTCGGAGACGCGGTCGACCTGGCCGTAGCCGTTGCAGTTGAAGATGGTGAGGACGTTGGCGAGGCCGTGGTCCATGATGAAGTCGAGCGCCTCGGCGATCTGGCCCTCGCGGGACTCGCCGTCGCCGACGATGCAGTAGATGCGTCGGTCGATGCCGTCGAGCTTGGCGGCCTGGGCGAGGCCGGCGGCGACGGAGAGGCCCTGGCCGAGCGATCCGGTGGCGGCGTCGAAGAAGGGGAAGCCTTCGATGGGGTTGGGGTGGCCGTCGAGGACGGAATCCGCGGCTCGGAGGGTGTCGAGGTCTTCGACGGTGAGCTGGCGGCGGTTGGCGGGGTCGTTGCCGACCATGACGCCGAGCCTGGCGCAGGCGGCGTAGACGGCGGGGACGGCGTGGCCCTCGGAGAGGACGAGGCGGTCGGAGGTGGGGTAATCGGGGTGCTCGGGGCTCCAGCGCATGGCGTGGAACATGAGTGTGGTGACGAGGTGGCCGATGCTCATGGCGGACGAGGGGTGGCCGGAGCCCGCCTTGGCGGTCATCTCGAGCGAGAGTCGGTCGATTTCGATCGCCTGTGCGTGAACGGCAGCTTCAAATGACATAGCCCAAGTCCCTTCGATTGAACCGCGCGAGGATGGCGCGAGAATACCCTATCATTATGCAAACAACGCGGGCGTTCGCTCCGATGGGCGTTCCCGCGACGAAAACCGAGTTGTGGTGAGTATCAACCAAAGCGGTTCGGACGACAACCGCGCGGGGTGGGTGTTGGTCCGAGAATTGCTAGTTTCTTTTGTTCCGAGGGTTGCGTGGATGCTCACAGGATGCGAACAAGCTGTCGGCAAGCGGCCCGTGCGGGCCCGGGGGCGGGGCGATTCCGTCGGGAGCCCGAGGTGTTGGGTACACTCGGGCCACTATGGCCTCAACGACTACAAGGGAGAGTGTCGCCATGAAGGTGATGTGCGACCGTTCGGCGCTGCTTGACGCGATCAACCTGGTTTCGAGCGTGGTCGCGCCCCGTTCGCCTCGGCCGCAGCTGACGTGCGTGCTTCTGCGCGCCTCGAAAGCGGACGCGTCGCTGACGCTGGCGGGGACGGACGCGGAGATGTCGCTGGTGATGTCGTCCTCGTCTGTTGACGTGCAGCAGGACGGCGCGGCGCTGGTTCCGGCGGACAAGCTCCGGCAGATCATCCAGGCGCACGATTCCGAGCCGACGATCACGCTCGAGTGCGACGACGACATGATGACGATCCGCGGTCGCGACGCGGTGTACAAGGTGTACGGGTACTCGCCAGACGATTTCCCGGAGATGCCGGACTTCGCGGCGGGCGAGGGCTCGTTCACGGTGGACGCGCGGGACATGGACCAGCTGATCGCGCGGACGATTTTCTCGACGGCGCGCGAGAACTCGCGGTACGCGATCAACGGCGTTCTTCTGAACCGCAAGGGGAAGAAGATCGAGATGGTCGCGACGGACGGTCGGCGATTGGCGCTCGCGAAGGGCAGCGCCTCGCAGGCGGACGACGCGAACAACCAGTGCATCGTGCCCAGCAAGGCGCTGAGCGTGCTGGACAAGCTGATCTCGGCGCACGCGTCGGACTCGGTCCGCCTGTCGGTGATGCCGAACCAGATCGTGGCGACGGTGCTCGACGAGACGGGCGAGCCGATCGCGAGCCTGAGCTCGAACCTCGTGGAAGGCACGTTCCCCCCCTATGAGGACGTGATCCCGCGCGACCAGGACAAGAAGGCGACGTTCGACACGGACACGCTCACCTCCGCGGTGCGGCGCGCGGCGCTGCTCACGAACGAGGAGTCCCGCGGCGTTCGCCTCACGTTCAACAAGGGCGACGGCAACAAGCTGACGCTCTCGAGCCGGGCGCCGGAGATGGGCGAGGCGACGATCGACGTCGAGCTGAAGGGGTACGACGGGGACGAGATCGAGATCGGTTTCAACCCGGCGTTCATCATCGATGCGCTGAAGATCATCGATGACGACGAGATCTCGCTCGAGCTCAAGAGCACGAACAAACCGGGGCTGATCAAGTCGGGTCCGGACTTTGTGTATGTCGTGATGCCGGTGAATTTGCAGTAAGAGTAGGCATCAGGATTCAGGCACCAGGCATTAGGGTATGAGGTGCGCCGCTGCGCGGCGGGGTTATTTGGCGCAGGCGTTGGCGTGGGCTGTTGTGTTTCAGAGTTCTTGACTTTGTAGGCCGGGCGGTTCAGCGTGTCCGCGCCATGACTGTCGCGGTTGCTCTGCGCCTTTGGGCTGATGGGGTCTGTGTGCGCAGGGGCGGTGCGTTTCGGTCCCCTCACTGGCGTTCGGGGTAGCTGTGCGCTGGGCGACAACCTTTGGTCCGGCTCGCTTCCGCTCGCGGCTGCTGTGAGTTATTGCAGGCTGCTGCGTTTGGCGAAGATGGGGTTGACGTGGAGGGTCGGTTTGTCTTTCTCCACGCGGACGGCGCCGATTTTTTCGATGCGTTCGGCGCAGGACTTCGCGTTCGCTTTGGAGTACTCGATGCCGATGGAGCGGCGGTTGAGCGCTCTCGCGACGGTGCAGGTTGTTCCCGAGCCGAGGAAGGGGTCGAGGACGAGGTCGCCCTCGTTGGAGCAGGCCCGGATGACGCGCTCCAAGTAGACCTCGGGGATCTGGTTGTCGTGGTTGTGGCGGCGCTCGAGGTTGTTGCCCTGGATGCGGCCCCAGAACTTTCCGTACCAGACGTCCATGGGGAGGCGCATGCCCTGGGTCCCCCGCTTCTTCGCCATGGTGCGCTTGTCGCCGTAGGTCGTCGCGCGGTCGGACGGTTCGAGGATGGGGTCGATGTTGAAGGTGCGCTCGACGGGGTCCTTCGCGAAGTAGAGGGCGTGGACCTTGGAGTTGATGAACTTGCGCACGGTGTTCTGGCCGAAGCGGTAGTGCCAGACGCACCAGTTGATCATGTGGAGGCCGCGGGATTTAAGGTGGACGACGATCTCCGCGGCGGTGTCGTCGGGGATGTTGACCCACATGCTGCCGGTGGGCGTGAGGGACTCGATGCAGAGGTCGAGCCACTTGGCGGTGAACTCGAGGTAGTCCTCGCGGGGCATCTTGTCGTCCCACTCGTCGTAGGCGCGGTTCCAGTTGAAGGGCGGGTCGGCGAAGATGAGGTCGACCTGTTTGTTCGCGCACTCGGGGATGGTCGGGAGGACGTCGCGGGTGTCGCCCTGGTAGATGCGTGTGTCGGGATTGTCGAAGGACTTGTAGAGGTAGCCGCCCTTCTTCGAAGACGGCTTGCGCGCGGTCTTCTTTTTCGAGGGGCGTTTGGTCTTCGCGGCGTTCGTTGGTGTGGCTTTTTCTTGTGGCATGGCGCAGGGGGACAGGATAGCGCAAGCGGGTGGAATGCGCAACAGAGAAGTTCTCAGATCGCTATTTGGTGCCGAAGAGGCGGTCGCCGGCGTCGCCCAGGCCGGGGAGGATGAAGCCGTCGGCGTTGAGCTGGCGGTCGAGGGCGGCGGTGTAGATGGGGACGTCGGGGCAGTGCTCGTGCATGGTGCGGACGCCCTCGGGGGCGGCGACGAGGCAGATGAGGCGGATGTCGGTGATGCCCTGCTTCTCGAGCATCTTGACGGCCGCGACGGCGGAGCCGCCGGTGGCGAGCATGGGGTCGACGAGGATGACGGGCCCGCTCGCGGCGTTTTCGGGGAGCTTGCAGAGGTAGGTGACGGGCTCGAGGGTGTCCTCGTCGCGGTACATGCCGATGTGTCCGACGCGTGCCTCGGGCATGATCTCGAGGAGTCCGTCGGACATGCCGAGCCCGGCGCGGAGGATGGGGCAGACGGTGACGGAGCGGGCGAGGCGGACGGCCTCGGTTTTCTCCATGGGGGTGTCGACGGAGCAGGGCTCGACGGGGAAGGCGCGGGAGACCTCGAAGAGCATGAGCCCGGCGATCTGGTTGACGAGGGCCCGGAACCGCTCGTATCGGGTGTCCTTCTGGCGGACGATTCCGAGTTTGTGGCGGATGAGGGGGTGGTCGAAGACGTGGAGGTTTGGGAAGGCCTGCACGGTCGGATCGGTCGCCTGCGTCATGCCACCAGCCTACATGGCGAATCCCGGGGTGTGTCGTGGATGTCGTCTTGACTGGGGGTGATGGGGGGCGATACTGTGGTCGCCCCCCGGGACGCCCCAGTGCCCGGGTGGACATCTCTGGGGCCGTAGCTCAGCTGGGAGAGC